CCTTATATCTTCTATTCATATTAAATATATTGTTCTTTCTCTAGCCTAACCTTGTTCTACATCATGTATTGGTAATTGATACGATACAGTGAGTTGGTGTAGTCGATGGTGTGACTTCCACGTAAGATCTTATAGATTAGGCAGTTATATCATGACGAATCTACAATTTTGGGATTAGGTCTATTATTAGAGCAGTACTAATATAATGGTAGACCATAATTCTACAGAAGTATTAATATATAGTACTGAAAACAGTATTTTGATACACAAATGGACATCTCCCTTTTTGTCGAAGCATAATAAACAAGCATCCATATCATTGGTTCGTGACATCACCGTTAGTTAAAAAATTGTTCCGCCCTACAAAAATGGGTGGATCGAAATTATCTCCCCACCAAAATGTTGGTTGGTCAATAGCGCTACCCTCCCTCCTTTTGGGATGTTACGCTCTCTCACGTTCGTGGTATATATGAATATTGCTTTATTTTAAGCTCCTTGTTGTAATAAGCTGTCTCTGCTATCCCCATGTTACAAGCAAATCCGATGTCTAAAGATTTTGTATTGTGGGTTAGAAATCCATTTAGTATATCACACTGCTATGAAGATAACTAATAGTAAAGACAATATCTTGAGAAATATTTAGAGAATGTTATTTATTTTTTAGAGACAGTACACCAGAAAGACGCAGTTTGATGAAAATAAGTGGGGGTTATTTTGTGGTAGATGATTCCAATATATAGTCATTATCGTTTCATCGCTTAAGTAATCTGTCACATACTGTGAACCAGGTGTAATTTAAAACCATAAGACATTACAAGCCTATCTGGTGTGCACTTATATTGAGATGTGTCTCGTCAGCGAATATCACTAAAGGTATAGTAAAACTGCCTAATTTCTTTACAGAAATTGAAAAATACTTTCAATTTCTCACTTTAACTGGTCAGGAGAGCTCCCAAACATCAGTTTTCCAGTGCACAAGTTATCCATGAACTGGCTTATACGGTTGAGAAGAATTCCTTCGAACTTTTTGACAATGTTTCAGACAGTATATTTGCCGAAGGATCTCCCTCCTCTTAGACTAGTACAACGACTCATAAAGTCTATCGGCGACACCGCTTCTGTTAGTTTTAAAACTTTCGCACTACTTCTATTGAATTTAAACGTCAGCGTTTGAAGGTGGAGACAACGAAGACACTGAGTTATGTCTTTACAAAATACACGACCGAATAAATAAAAATCAGAGCCAGGGATCACCTCGCACCGACGAAGTGCGTTGAAGATCCGAGCCAACGGAACCACGGCAACGATCAATATGCCATCCACCAACGAGCTAAAGATTACACATGATGTATTTTCTGGACGTTTTGTGGGAAGCTTTAATCATACATAGATATTGAAACAATGATTTATTTACAAACGATATACAAAAAGATATATCTAAAAAATCCACCTTTTTTCTTTACACAGGGAAGTTTTAAGGTGCAACCAACTCGGAAGACTAGGAAAAAGGCCCATACAATGTCTTACATCCAGTAGTCGTCCAGTTCTTCTGGGAACCAAAAAGTTCTTCCAATGCGCCTCATTTTCAAACCCTTGCATGACGTCAGAGACGTTTTGTCGTAGTCTTTAAGTATCCAGGGTTGCTTCACAGCAGCGGAATTTTTTTGCAAGCAGCTCTCGGCCAGTCGAAGATTATTTTATCTTTAACTTCGTTTTCATTAATCGTGTAGTACTTGGTTTTGGCTACGGAGAACAATATAGGGTTCTTTATATGCAGCTTCATAGAGTGGGCATGGTGGGTTGCGACCTAGTAAGACGGTTTCACTGAGGCTTGGGGAGTCATGAACGATAACATCAATTGAGTGCGATCGGGTGGGAGCAGGTCTGACTGAACGCTTTGCGTTTGTAGGTGTGTTCATGTATGAGTGCTAGTCCACATTCATTGATGGAGATTAAGGATCACCGAACTTTCCTGGAAGTCAGAGTGTCCCTCCGTAAATGAGTTGTACTTTGGTGTATACAACGTTAGGTTTTACTGCATTGCGAATACCGAGTAATATGCGTGCAAGAGCATTAGTCAACTGTAATATGTTTGCAGCTGGGAGTGAAGATTTTAACTGACTGAAAGCGTTTTGCCAGTCAGTTTTCCTATGGGTGTTAGGTGTTGGTTCAAAATTGTATGAATGCTGGTGGTGTGATGTAACAACGAGAAGACCAGACTCCAACTGTCGTCCAAAGTCTGAAGTGAGGGTTGAAGGGGAGACGGCATTTTCTACTCATCGTTCGACGAAGGCGCGAGCCACTGTTGCAGCATTCATCATGTGAGACGATCCACACACGTTAGAGTCAGGAATATCCGTTTGATTCCGGTAAGCACCCTACCAAATCGAAATGAAAGTGGTCGACACGAGCGTCAGTCACTGCTGAAGAAAGTGCGTAGCATTTGTCGTGTCTAAACATCTGAAATTTCTAGCAACCCAAACAAGAGTGTGGCCATTCCATCACGTCTATATTTATAACAGGCCGAAAAAACCTCCCGCAAAGAGCTTGATGGCCGCTTGAACACATGAATGAGTAAGCTTGTGCAACGCATTAAAGACGTTGTGTCGATAATGTTCCACTATCTGTTCTGATCAGTTTGATTCGTAATTTCAGTGCTGTCGAATACAACTCGTGCTGAAGATTGGTGTTTTCATTTAGACAAGGTGTCTACTACTACACTGTTCACTCTAGAAACATGTCGTATATCAGGATTAAGTTGCGAACTTCACTGGAATTGTAGAAACTCTCGAGGAGAATACTTGTCTGAAGATGAGCTAAGAGAACAATTAAATAGTTTATGGTCTGTGAATTGCGTGAACCTTCGGTCACACAAGGTGTTGGAAGTGCCGTACGACACAACTAGTATTTCTATTTCTACATAATGAACTTAGAAGGTGAAGGTAATGTATTGATTTTTGAAAAGGCCTCAGTAAACGTTTGGCGTCCAGCATAAATAACATTTTGCTTATGGTAGTACGACGAAGTTTCCAATCAAGACTTAATGTGAGAGGGTTTTTGTACATACAATATGCTTTTTCATAGTATGTTGTTTCGCAGAACATTAGTGTACACAGTTTCTACTACAGTGTTGGAGTGGTAGAATATATGATGATTGTTTGTGTAAGTCAATAAGAAATGTTAATGAGCGTCATAATTATAGTAGGAAATCAGCTAGTGAGTTTACAGATATCGCCTTGAATATATTTAAATCTATATAGTGCGTGTTTACGGTAGCTGTTGGTTCGATACGATATAAACACTAGAAAAAACTATGCTAAATGCAAGGCATTAAAAGTTTACTTTTCGGATTTCTTAAAACTCTGGGCTGATTCACTAAAGGTCCAAAACGAATCCAAGGTAAATCCATAGAATTGACTGGGCGAATGATTGTTACTTTCTAGTATTCGTGTTTTCTGTTTGACTATGGGCTTGGGTGATCAGCAGTGAAATAGGAGTAGTTGTAACAACTTCGGTTGATTAGTTAAAAGTTGTCCTGAAACATCTTAGTGTCTGTTAAGACGATAAACCTCAAGCGTTCATTGACCTCCTTATTTTTTATACGTGTGATACTTCCTATTATCTTACATCGAATTTTGGAAAAAACTTTGTGTGTTTGAATAGGTAACCTCCTGCTCCACTATGTGCTATCCCACGATCCAAATAAACACCTATCTATTATTAGTCTGGTTTCTTCTATCAAGAGAACGAGGGATAACCGCCGGCCCAAAATAGTCACATCAGAACGATAAAAAGACAGTAAGATGTATTGAGAATCACTGGCCTGTCCAGTCTTACTTAGACTACGTGCATACATCACGTGTCGATAAAAGTTCATATTACCTTGCATCTATACTAACAGGTGGTTGGTATTCTCACTGACATATCATACAGGAGCATTTGTAAGCAACTAGTAATTTTTGAAGAACCATGGTAGCTGATTATAATCGGTTTTTGGTATAGATAAATGTGGTGAGTCAAATTTAGGTACAAATCAATATTGAGATAAGAAAGTGAATGTTCGCTGTGATTGATAGACTCATTTAATAAGAACTAGCTTCCAAATACATAGAGAAAGTTAATAATTGGAGTTCATTGAGTTAATTAAGGTATAGATCACCACTGCAGAGCACCAAAGTGATTAACTATGGTTGGGTGGGAGTGCTGCAATCTCTTAGCTCATGTCAAAGTTACTCTTTGCGGTTAATACTTAACCTTGGTTATTCTATTGTAATAGTCAGGTGAACCGAATTTCTAGGTGACTGGTAAGTATAAATAGCCTCCATAAACAACAGCTTATGTTGATGGAAACAGGTCGCAAAAGTAGAAAGAGAAGCCAGTATCACATCGTCTGTCCATGGCGTGTAGTTCACTAAATTGTCATTCCTTAACCCTAATTATGTTTGATGGACTGTCTAACTTTAGTGATACATCGACTGACGTAGAAGGGGTTCAACCTGATTTTTTAAATGTTCAGTAACGTTTCACTGCATTTCGGGTCTCTCAGCTGGATCAAAACAAGAAATATTAGGGCCCTTCACTACACACAGTATTCTATCGCATGTTCAGGTTCCAAAAATGTCATGGCGGTTAGATAAATAAATCAAGAGAGACCATTGAGAGATTCATTGAAAACTCCGAATTATTCATCACAGTTATCAAGATAGTGCAGAATGATCAAACGTATACCTGCTAAAAAAGTACAGGATATAATGTACCATATGTGAAATACTTTCATATCATATCACAGTTTCGACAATCAGGATTTTCAAACTTCCCACTGTAGTAGGTTGGATTTATTAATTTAAGTGAACCTCCAATTTTCACCCAGTCATCCAAATATTCTTTTCATCTTTCTCTTTTCTAGATTCTCTGACATACATTCCTTTACCAGTCCATCAGATACAACCCATCTTCAGACTAGATAAACTTTTAAACTTGAATGCCACAGTGATGTATGGTGAATTTGAAAGAAGAACCTTAATTATCTTCTCAGGCTTTGCTTACTTATTGTTTGGACAGGCATTTTCCAGCTTTGAAATAAGATGTTTGTTCCTTAAATTCTCCCGAAGTTTGTTTCTTCACTCTGATTATCAAGGTTGGGGTACTATAAACAATGCGAAGTTCTATCTGAGATTACAATGTACCGGTGTCTTTCCGGTAGAGCATCGTCACACATTCTGTTTGTCCTGAACGGACTTTCCATAGTAACACTCGTATCTTAAACCTTAGCTGATTTTTAGCTGTTTGGGGTTACTTTAATATCCCTTGGGATTGTATGTGTCGTTGACCATGGAAATATGTCTGAAGTTGTTGGAACCTCACTCTATTCGTCTGGAGTGTACATAGTCATCTTCTTAGGACTTGTTATTACAATCGTAGCTCTGTGTGGTTACATCGCAGCTGACAAAGAAAACATCTGCCTGATTGTGTCAGTAGGAAATGCATATAATCAAATTTCGAACATTTGTAGTATATATTCATTTTATGCTTACTCGCATTACTCTTGTTGATATCAGGAATAATAGTTTTGTCCTTTAGAAGTTCAGTGAGTGAATTTCAAAACTTTAAAGTCACGTATTTTACAATTTAGCTTGGTGAATCGGCTAGAAGTGTGATGGTAGATTCGTTAAGGAATCACTATGGACGATATGGGATTATAACTGATGCATGGGACTTGGTACAGAGGCACCTACGTTGCTGTGGAGTGGATAACATTGGATGGGGTGTGTATAACGGATCGTGGTGGGACATGATTGTAAACTCGGATTTATACGAAACGAACACTAAATTGTCAGGTATATAAAGACTACTTCGCGATTGACATATGATAAAGAATCAAGTTTGTTTTACTTGTTTGTTCCAGAATCTTGTTGTGTCAAGAAACTTGATGGGTTGACTGGTTGGCCAACTGAAGCATACCGGGATAGGAGACGCTGCCAGACGTGGCAGTACGGACCACCGAATAAAAGCAGTGGACCTCACAACGACGCTATTTACTATGCAGTAATTTTTTTTTACAGTTAGTATGTTAATTCTGTTTAGGGATGCTTTGAAAGTTTGAAAAGTTATATCAATAATTATGCTAAGGCTGTTGGCCTCTTGGCACTGATCGCGTGCATTATCTTGGTAAGTTAAATTTTCTCTTAAATCAATCTGTGTACAACCGAATTATTAGTTATGGAGTTGTAATTATGAATCAGATGCCGATTAGATAGTAAGACTTAAATACACCAACCCAGTAAAACTTTGATAAAATACGCACGTATTTGCATCTTACGGAAATCCTAGGACACTAGTTCAGCGATTATATCTGACTGAAAATTAACGAAAATGACGATCCAAACGATGGTGGACAATATATAAGTCAAGGAACTGGTGAGAACCAAATACTAGTAAACACTGCCAAAAATTTTTAACGGGCCTTCATGTGAAGTTTTTTGACTAAAATATTCTTAAATCCATTAAGTATCTAGACAGCCAGCTCGAAATACCAATCGCAAAAAAGCACTTTACTCGTATAGGTTGACTAATCTCAAGATTTTTGGAGATTTATCGGATGAGTAATCGCCAATCCAAATGAAGTTCCAAACATCAGATCTGACAGTAAAGGAATTTTTGTATTTTTAAAATCGCAAGCTACCGTATATGACCATGAACTAGCTAACTCGAGGAAAGAACAAACTCAAAAACTAGATATGCTGTTGCTTCTACAGATTTAATTACGAACTCATTATCCTAGGTATACTCTAAGACATGTATATATGCTGAAATTTTACATTCCTTTCATAGAAAATAAACTCTTCGGTTATCGTTGAAGTCTTTTGCATTCGACAAATGGCGGATTTCACCTGTTAGCTCATTGGTCGGACATAGTCTTTGTGTTCACAATACCACAACTTACTAATATTTTCTAAATGTACTGTCTCATTTCTTTGAAATCACCAAACATAAACCTTGATACATTTCACCGGGAATGTCGAAAGCAATCAAAGTCTACCCCAATTCTTTTACTTTTATTAAGTAATTCTAAACACATAAGCTTGATTCTAATAGGAAAATTGCTGTTGTAACCGAATTAATTTTTACTTTTTCTCAACTAACAAACTCCTATCTCGTAATATTTGAAGAGTCACAGAAAATTACACTAGTTGCAACCAAACAAGTAAACATTTCTGTACTTAGCTCAGAGCACAATTTATGAATTGACGTTATTAGTACTACCCAGATTCTAAGTTCTTAAACGCTGATTAAATCAAAATAAGTCAACTGTAGTAATCGTCAGATTTTTTATGAATGGTTTGTGACTAAAGTCACGGACATCGATGACCAAAATCTATTCAACAAAAAATTATGACTGAGATGGAAGGTTGTTATAATCTGAAAAACTAGTATTTACATAAACATGCATATATTATATTATATAAATGTATTGAACTGATTTCGACTAAATTCACATTATAACCGATCTGCAAAATAACATTTTTCTTAATCGATATAATAACTGATAAGGTTTGATGTACAGAAAAATCTAAGATCAAACGTCTGTATGACCACTATCACTTTTACCAAAATTTGGAAAAATGGTTATACCGGGCTATTTTTCAGTCTAAACGTTCTATCACTTTACGAACCTATTTGATTGTAACTGAATGGTAATCGGATGAAACAAAACATTTCAAAAGGCTCTTATAATGGGACTAGCACATTTTAGAGTCGTTATTTGTTGTTAGTTCCATAGTACTTTAGTTTACGGACAGGCAAAGGTGCTTGGATGTTAGATAGAAATTTGTAACTCAGGATGATTTTGAGGGACATTAATCTTGATAAGATAAATTGTAAGTCATATGTGAAGGAGTCCTAGTAACTCATTTCTATCTAAAGTTTGTGCTGGTGGTGTTGATTGGAAAGATAGTGAGAGCTTCACAAAGAACCACTCAGCTCATAGAGCGCAACTCCGTCGAAAATTGCTTGGTTATACCCTTTGATTTAAATTGATATGTACCAGCGATTTTAGGTTAAACAGGTTGTCTCTGAGCAAATAAATTATTCTATTAAAACTGACTTTGTGGCGTAGATATTACCTCCGTGTGTCATCCTTTTGTCAATCTATATTATTTTGTACTAATTCAATAATAAAGTAGTAGTTTTTGGCGTTGCTTAGGATCTACCATCTTAGATACGGTTTTCGCAACCAATGTATATAATAAAAATTTCTGATTGAATTCCAAAATCCAGATAAGCGCTTTGGTCTGTGCATTATTTTTGTTCCGTGATGCTAAACTCAATGCTCAAAGAAAACAAAGAACAAAGAACTGGAGGAATCAGACACAATATAAGTAGATCAGTTATATGGTTGACTGGAATACGTTGAAGCAAGAGTGAAGCTGTGATTATATATTACTGGGAAGGATATTAGTCATATATAATTTATTTTATTACTAAAAAGTAAAGTATATTTATTTTCTAAAAATTACCCTTTTTATCTATTATATCTTCCAAAAATTAACCTCCGAAAATTTGTGAGAACTCCACTTGATTCAATGAGACCATAATATAAAACAAGGGAAGGAGATGAACTTTTGTCCATTTATCAGAACTGGGGTATGGAGATTGTAGTAATTTTACCAGTTAAATTCATGAGTCCATCTAAGCCAGACCACCATTGAAAACTTGGGAGCACTGGACGGCCATTTTTTCCTGGCAGTGCATATCTATTATCTTGCATGAGGGACTAGAACCCAGGACCTTCGATCTCGCGTGCGAACAATTAACCTTTAGACCACTGAGCCGGAAGCCAATGACGTTAGTGTCTAGCTTCAATCGATCTATGATCGTGGGCAATCATCCATTCACTATAAATTTAGCTAAAACTAGAAATGATTCCGTTTAAAATAACACTTCGTAAGGTTCATAAGACAACATCTTTGAAAGCGGTTTGACTGCAGTAAAGTGTGTCGCAAGCTTTCAGATGTCCGGATCCATAACGATGTTATAAATCCTGAGGAAAAAGTTAAACAAAAAAACCATTTAGAAGTATAAAATTTATCGTTCACTGAAATATAATACACAATTACAGGAACTGATTATTTACAAATGTGTACAACGGTCACTTTGATCTCTTACCAAAACCACCAAATCCCATAGCTGCTGCGACGTCAGAATCTTCAAACTGTTCATCATTTCTACGCTTTTTCTCTTTGCGTTTTTCTTGTTTATAAGCCCTAAATTTCTCTTCTTCCTCGGCAATTTGTTTCATTTTTTCATCTAAACTGTACTCTTCCGCCTTTTCTTCGGATTTTTGCTTGTGAAGCTGAAACCTATGGCAGAGTTATAATACCACAGTAATACCTTTCTTTAACTTCTTCTAAAGTTGACCTCTTAATCCTCATTGACATTCCCATATTCCTTTGATGTTTTTTACCGTTTATATGATCCAAATAGTTAATTGAATCTTTCACAACACAGTCACAAACTTCACAGTAGTAGCCTGCTTGTGAAGATCCTGGTCCGGTCTTTGCAATAACTTGAGATTTGTTCAGGTTAGATTCCAGGTCAATCTGTATGATATAATTTTTATAGTTTTAGGAAGACTTACTGTATAATCACGAGCTTTTAAGTACTCCTTTTTCATAGTTTCCTTTTCTTTTCGAGCATTTCGCATAGCTTCTAACTCATTGCTAAGTTTATCACTCGCCAATTTCTCAAAATGAGCTTTGTCCCATTTTCTTCTGTGGTCAACAGGATTCTAAAAAGGAAGTCTTTTCCACTCATCATACTTACGGTACCGGCCATTTTAACAACAAAATACTTGACTATCGAGATGCTCTAAAAGGAAAGCTTCATTTAATAAATGCCGAGATTGGAATTGATAGTTTCAAATAAATATATTTTTGTGATAACCCAATGATTAGAGAAATGTATCTTTGAAGTTTCGTGACTTGAAGTAAGTCAAATTGTGAGCATGACTTACATCCAAGAACATGAAAATTTTAGGGTAGCACTTAACTCCATCGATCGACAAGATTTTATGACAGTGTCATACCAAATCACATTAACCGAGTACATGCCTTCTATTTGAACACAAGTGGTCATAAACATTTCTTTAAAGGCAACCCTCTCATCGTGTGACTTTGCAGGAATAAATCTATCGGGAGACTAACTTGTCGAGTTGGAATATACAGATGATAGTTCGATTCGGTGAAGACGCTGATATAATGTAGAGTCTTCTGACCGTCTTGAACAACCGTGCTAACATTTACGGTATACGTTTCACTCCACCCAAATGTCGCTTCAGGACGTATTTATTTATCTAAACACATAAAGATTGATACAAGGAAGCACCCTGTACCTATATTCACACTAGGTAGCGAGCAGTTAAAGTTAGTCAAGAAGTTCGTGTATCTAGATAGCTGTTTAAGTCCTGGTGGTGGCGCCAGTGATGAGATTAATTCACGTATGATCAAAGCCAGAGTATTTTATGCCAACCTTGGCCATCTTTGTTGCCTCCATAATGCTAATATCTATAGAAGGTCGAATCTACAATACGTCGGTGAGAGTAGTTTTGTTCTATGTTTATAAAGCCTGATCTCTTCAAGTTGAGCATGTCAAGCGACTCTCTGCGATCGACCATGGTTTCTCTGAAGGGTTACTATCGTTTAATGGAAACACCATGCTAGTAATGTGGAGGTTCGGGAACGTGTTCAGCAACAGTGACGATAATTCAATTAGTGTCACCATATTGAAATACCGACTGCAGTGGCTTGTACATGAGGTAGGGATGTAGTCCCGGCAAATTCCACATTGTGAATTGTTTTCCGTCGCTGAATAATTTGAAAAACAGAGAGGTAGTGTATGACATGGTGTCGTGATCATTTTAACATGCGTCAGTCTAATTGTTAATGACTTCATAGACTGATGCCATGGTTTGGTTGTCCCTGGCTTTCTACCAGCCTACTGAAACACCAGAAAACATTGCCCTCGCGGTAAGCGGTAGTTGACACATGTAATACAGGTCCCAGCCACCTTAGCTGATGAAGATTCACAATAAAACCAACCAATTTCTCATTCCTAGCGAGTTCTCTACTCCTAACCTAGGCAATCTTTACTTTCTAGTCCAAATATATAAGACCAATTTTTCGAGTACTCTCAGTTATTGTAACTAGACGGTCTGTGTTCTTCCTTGTAAACTGGAATGATCAGAGATCAAAACCAGTCGGATGGGATTACTCACAGTCCACAGATTCTAGCTAAGATCTCAGTTAATCAAACTGCTAAAACTGGACTACCATCCGTAAAAGTCTCACGACTTAGTCCATCAGACCCGGCTGATCTCCCTATCTTTAGATTACTTAGTCTTTTCAAACTCACTGAGTAGGACGACTTACATCAGTTTGCGATTCAGGTTACTTGGAGATAGTGGGTAACTGAAGTGTGACCGAAGGCTAGTTGAACTGTCCCCTAAGGTGTTCTTCACATTGATCTAATCTCATGGATTGAGAGTGAGTAATATTCCTGTCTTTTCCCGAGGTAGTTTCACTAATAGCCAGATTTTTAATACCGGTCTCCTCGATAATTGAGTAGTTGTCTGTTGCTACCTGTAGCCGCAGATTTTCCGTCTCTTTCGCTTTTGTTACCCACCATTGTTCACGATCACTGTGTAGGCTTTTAGTCAGCCTACGTCTGGGCTGTCTCAGCCCCTCATTGTGTTCGAAGCCAGATAGGAAGAGATCCTTAGCATCTATCGGTTCTGTAGACGTCGCTGAAATCGGCTGGTTGTCCCTAACATTTTTGTTTAAGTTTCTGGTAGTTATCACTGCCGTTTCCACAGCATTTCGTTTATCGTATCAAGCTATCTCGTGGTGGATATCATTTTGACGGTTGACTAGCAGTTGTTCCTGAAATATATTCTTGAATTTTTCAGGACTAAGTAGAACTCTTAGGAGTTTTCCTGCTGCCACTGTTTTACGTTCAGTAATACCCTCAAGTGTCCTGGTACGGTCAAGGGTGTGGAAAGTCCGCTCTTCCTCTCGAAATACTCTCACATGGCCACGCGTATACAGCCACTGCCGGGGAAATCTTATTCGCTAAACACAAGTGGGCCACACAATGACAGTGAGGTTGTGAAGAGACAGGAGGGTGGATATACCAATAAGACCACAAGTTAATAGGAATCGGTAAGTGAGAGTGAAATAATAATAATAACAACGGAAGAATCAGTTCAATTAGAAGAAATACAACCAGAAAGAATTCTTTCAACTAGAAAGTTACGTTCACATTTATGGGGAAAGTAACAGAGAGTTACAGCAGCATCGCTACTGCCTTCTATTCTGAGCCATGTCTGATAACGTCTGAAGCCACTGTGTTGCATCATCTCTGGGGCAACCACAGCAGAAATTTACATAGGTAAATGGGATGTTCGGACAATGTGGGAGATTGGGAGGACCAACTAAGTAGCTGTGGAAAGGAGGAGATGAAATTTGGTGGTCCTTAGAATCAGTGAAACCCATTGGATCCTAAATTGGACAGAAAAGATTAGATTCGGGAGATGTGCTGTTGTACTCTGTTCACGAAGAAAATGCTTGCCACACACAAGATGCTGCTCTGATTTCGTCCAAAGAAGCGCGAAAAGTACATGTAGGATGGGAATCTCATGGATTCAGGCTCATCAAAGCATCTTCGAAAATAAAGCAGGGGATCACACTCGATGTCATCCACTGTTATGCACCCACCAATGATAGCAATGAAGACAATAAAGGACAGTTTTATTGGAGGCTGTAGTTGATCGTAGAAAGGTGCGCAGGAAAAGACCTAACGCTCCTAATGGGAGGACCACACGCCAGAGTCGGAATGGACAACACAGGGTATGAAGATATCAAGGGACTACAAAGGCTTGGAGAAAGGAACGAGAATGGCGACAGATTTGCGAATATATGTACGTTCGACAAAATGCTAATAGTTGATACCATATTCTCCAACAAACGCATACACAAAGCCACATGGGTCTCGCCGGATGGCACTACAGTCAGTCAGCTACAACGTAGGACCAGGCACATATGTGCATCGGTCCAGGTTGCCATACCGCATCAGCACAACAAGATGAACACCGGATTCATAGCAGTGGTTAGGTCAAAGGTAGTAATATGTAAGAGAAAGATTGCATATAGAGATATAGTACAAGAAGAAAGAATTGGTTCATAGAAAGAAAGATATGAAGCGATTTTAATCTCTTAGTTTAAGGGAAGACAGAGAGTGTATACACCGACGCCATTGTGATCGATTCTGAGCCATGTCACCAAGAGTCTCCAACCATTGGTTACGATAGTCACGCGGACCCCAACCAAGTAGTCGGCATCTACCAACATCGCTCAGACTACAAGTTAGTGACTTCAAGCACTGATGCCACGTTTTGGTTTGGCCGCCCCTAACTTTCTTCCAACCATCTCCAACACCGGTTAGCATTGTACGTCGTGGTAATCGGTGTTCAGGCATACGTAACACGTGGCCCAACCATCTCAGTCGATGAAGATTCATAACCTCATCAACTGATTTACCATCATTTTCTAATACCCTGTATCTAACCTCATTATTACTTACCCGGTGATCCCAACAGACACCAGCAATATTTCTAAGGCATCTGTGGTCAAATACTAGTAGCTTACGGGTGTCTTCTACTCTTAATGGCCATGTTTCGCTGCCGTAAATTAAAACAGAACGGACTGCCGCGCAGTATACTCGTCCTTTTATTGATAGACGGATATTTCGCCTTCGCCATAGGTGACGTAAGTTGGCAAAAGCCAAACGGGCTTTTCAAATCCGTGCTGAGATTTCGTCAGACAACAACCCATTAGGGCTGATCAGACTTCCAAGATAAGTGAAGTTGTCAACGCGTTCGACTACTTCACTCCCTATCCTTAGTTCAGGTGTTGAGGCAGACCAGTCCTGAATCAACAACTTGCATTTAGAGGAAGAGAAGCGCATTGTTACTCAGTGCTACCAGAAGACTGAATTTTGTCAGCGTCTTCACCAAACAGGACTATGTCATCTGCGCATTCTAAGTCGATAAGTGGACCTCCTGGATGGAGATCAATACCCGAGAACTCAGTCGACGAGAAAGTTATTTGCATCAGTAGGTCTATGATGAAGTTAAACAAAAATGGAGAAAGTGGATAGTCTTGACGGACACCACTTGAGGTTGCAAAAGTAGATGACAGTTCGCCATAAGCTCTGACTCGACTGGTAGTGTTCGAGTAAAGAGCCTTTACAAGGTTTATGTACTTCTGGGGTACGCATTTCAATGACAGACACTGCTACAGAATCTCGCACTACAGAGAACCGTATCGATCATATTTGCACCACCAAAACAATCGGAAGATCAGTGAGATGCGTAAGAACAAAGAGAGGAGCTGACAAAGCTTCAGATCGCCAACTAAGGGTGGCCAGGATAAAACTCACACTAAAGAAGCACTAGATAACAGAATTAGGACGGTTTCTTACAGTCTTCCTTCAAAATACTAAAAACTCGACAAATTCAAAATAACTCACAGCAACAACTTCCATATCGTACAAGACCTACACAACGAAGAGGAAACTACCACATAGAACAACTGGAAATACGTTACAGAAGCAATAACTTCAGCGTCTCAAGAGGTCTTGCGTCCCAAGAAGCATCGTTGGACAGAAGCTAACAAGAGAGTAGAGAGGAACATTAGAGCTGATAAGCAGAGATATTTGGGAAACGTAGCAATAGCAGCGGAAAATGATGCAAAAGTAGGAAATATGAGACTACTATATGATGCAACAAGAAAACTAGCGGGGAAATATTGTGAACCAGATAAGACAGTCCAGGACAAAGAAGGCAAGTCAATCACTGAGATTCAAGAGCAGAGGAACAGATGGGTAGAACATTTCGAGGGACTCTTGAATTGGCCAGCAGAGTGTTGCTGAACAGGATGGAAGACTCAGTAGATGCCCAGCTTCCAGATTAACAGACCGGATTCCGTAACGATCGGTTGTTCATAGGCTGAATCACGGAAATACGGATCGTCGTTAAACAATTCATTGAATGGAACTCGCCACCACACATCAACTTCCTTGAATATGAGAGAGCATTTAACAGTGTGGGTAGGAGGATCTTATGGAAATTTCCTCGACACATTGGTGTACCTGGGCAAATCGTCAACATCATCCGGGATTCACACGATGGACTACGCTGCAATGTCGTGCATGGATAACAACTGGAAAATGCATTCCGAGTGAAGACCGGTGTCATACGAGGCTACTTATTCTCGTCCTTCCTTTTTCTTCTGGCGGTCGACTGAATTATATCATATATCAGGTTTAACACAGAATACAATGGAGAGATTGGATGCGGTCACACGATTCGGATTTCGCAGATGAACTATCTCTTCTACTTCATACACACAACAACAAATGCAAGTGAAGACACCCTTTGTAGCAGCAGCCACCGCAGTAATATACCTAAGCATACAGTAGGGAAAATCCAGAATCCAAATTAGAACGCAGTGAGCACCCACCAAATCAATCTTGATGTAGAAGCTCTGAAATAGTTGAGGAGTCTATTGTACGTGGGTAATATTATTTGATGTAAATATGAAGGAATTGAATGAAAAATCAAGGGCAACATTCCTACAATCGAGGGACATTTAAAACTCAAAACAAATGTCAGCCAACGTCAAAATCAGGACCCCCAATACGAGCATCAAGACAGTTCTATCGTAAAGAAAACAACAACCTGCTGTAATAGATAAAAAACCAGGTTCAAGCTGAAGAGGGAATTAGAATGAGGCGCTGATGCTGTATAGAACATATATTGCGCATATCATAAAACTGCACCATAATGCAATCCAAAACTTGGAATTCAGAAGGTAAAAGAAGAGAAATCAGACCAAGGAATACATTGCATGGAGTATCGCAGACAGATATTAGAAGAATGGATAGCAACTGGAAAGGACTGTCTAGGACATAGTCCGATGGAGAATCCTAGTGGGCGGCGAACACCCCTCTTCATGAGAGGTAACAGGCGTAAATAAGTAGAATGAGATGTGAAATTTTCAGGGTTAACCTTTTATAAGATCTGCCTTCCGTTATGAGAAAGCAGCATTGTTGCAGATGCTAAATGTCTGAGATAAACAATTTTCTACCTTTACATCCCTCTACGACTTAACCATCTGACTTTAAGTTGCTGTTTTTGTCTTTGTGTTCTTCAACTGACCTTTTTGGCATATGACCTAAAGATACATGTTTCAGTCAATACGGCTTGGTTGAATCATCACGACGGGTAAGCACGACCAACACGCCAAGACAGCAGCTACTTAAAAACAAATGTTTATAAACATTAGGTGACGTCTTAAGGTAGATGGAGAGAGGGCCTGAAATAGTGACTAAGAAATAGGGCCGAAAATACTAAGTTGTGGTCAACACCCCTTAAATAAGTTGGATGGAAGATAGTCGCACCTTTTGGACTGCAATGTTAATTTTCACGTATATGAGTATCTCTTTGAGACTTAATGGACACCTACGAAAAACGACAGATACTTTCGGGTTACAATTCGAGGATAGCAAGGTCGAAAATTTTCTGGGTAAGAATTATCTACGTACTCAAAGAAATACAAAGAGGGTGTGTTAGACCCTTTTCAGGCCAGATACAATACATTCGTTAAAGGAAATCTAGCTCTTTGTATAACTGGTGAACATTTCAATTTACCAAAATTGTGTGTTCTGAAATTCCTAAAGATATCAAGGAGTTAACTCATTCATCTACTACTAACCTGGATACTTGTTTCTCTGTAGAAACTTGATAGTAGGATTATATACTTCAGTCTAAAAATATTTAATTTGTCGAAAGTTAAGTATCCTCGCTGATCCAGTTTCACGGTTTGAAGTGAATACATAAATATTATTTTTCATTACGTTTTTAGCAAAATATTCAAAAATCTGTGTTTGACAGTGTAAGCTCGTTATCCTGTTTACAATAAACCAGTTTAATGTGGACGATATCTCGTCACTCTTTAATTAAACATTCATATGTAATATTTTCACGGTGATAAGTGAAAATCTTAACTGTTTTAACCAACGAAAAATTTCAATTTTATTTACTATACGATCTACTGACTTGAACCATGAAGAAGCTGATTCTCAACAAATATATTTGTTCAGGAATGTATGGAGACATAAAACGAGTGAACACATAACTGTTTACCATGTCAGCGTAGCGAAAATTACCGACACACCACGACATCTGCAGTTCCATAACCCGCCTAAGTATCATTTCTAGTAAGTGCTTATTCATCTATCAAACAGTTTGAACTATAACATCCCTACAGTGCGTCGTTTTACTAGGCTCTGAATCCCACATTTCTACAAGTAACCTATTATATTAAGAGATACATAAAGCGAAAAAGACTAATTCTCACTAAAAATTCATACTGGTTCTTTCCTCCTGATTTTTTTTTCATGCAGTCATTATTTTGTTACTGTTCCGGTGTGGTTCTACTGTTATTTGGTCCTCAGGTTTACCATCAATAATTAGTGACAGGAAAATTGTATAACTCAGCATACGTACCTAGACTTTCGTTGAGATATGTGAGAAACACGTCAGAGTTTCAAATATTTCAAATACGTGTATCAGCGAAATCAAACTTTCATTAGAGTTACGTAGTTATCAGTAGTTTTAATTTTCCGCAACATGTCTTATTGATACGAATCAATCACCAAACAGTTGGAATAACTGTCTGTGAAAATAAACATGAACTACTAACTTACCTGAGATTGTCACTATGAACGTACTGCTGCAAAATAATCACAACTAACACTATACGAATACTGTTACGCAAGCGTCAAATCCTTACCAACGTAGAACTGTCCGAATCTCAATACTAAGTGTATTCACTATTCATTTATTCAAATATTATTGGGATAAAAAACCAAACGCGCCTTAAAATTTCCCCTTTGCAAGGTGTGGATGTGGATGACTCAAAGAAAGTTAGGTTCTTCAACCATGTAGGAGTTCTAAGATATATCGAACATATATGTAGTGCCAGTGAAATGTGACTAAGCCTTAGTCAAATCATCCGTTAGCTAGGCTAATGAATGACAAACAGTTCTGTGATCCTTGTCAACACCAAGGACAAACAACGCACAACAGATAATTGCACACCATGGACTGACCCATTCATCAGTAATTGTCCTCTGTCACTTGTACCTACTCTTGCTAATATATTTCTGTTATGACGTCGTTTGTTCTGTATGTTTGTCAACGTAACCACAGCACCTGGATAAGACGAAAAGTTGTTCCACTAAAAGTACTGACTGTGAGGCGTGTCTGCTACATTTGTTGGCCCCTAATGACTCGACACAGATCATCTACGATGGTGATCTATACTGGAGAACAAGACATAGAATAATACACTCTATTATTATAATCCCGATTATTGAGTTCTATACTTATTCTTTTCCATTTCTATGGTCTTTTGAGTTCGTCAATTACCGTGAACATATTCTTCTTTATGTTACTGTTGATTGGTATTTAAGCTTAACGGATTAGTTCAATCGATATATGTCACAAATCAACTAGGATTGTAATCGGGTATCATAGTTCTATAACATTCATTCGCGACATGTAAATTTTTCTGTGTAATATGCCTGCTAAAATATCAAATATTCGTATGTATAGCCATAGAGCAGCGCTATTACATATATTTCAGTATCTTATGTAAGCAAGACACGATCCGCCATTAATTATAAATCCGTCTTCCTGCTTATTTACTCTGAACTATTTTCGGTCATAACCAATCCACTAGAACTTTTTACTTGACCACTGCTTACTTAATATTCTATTTCTGAGTTCCATGATAAAACAAAGGAAACGAATACCACAAATTTACCTTGTTTAAACTATAAAACTCCTACAACCTTCGGTTTTGTCTAGATAGTTTGTCAGACAATGTTATGTATTTGCCTAAATTATCTTTGGGTATACACAGATTCGGTCGACAACATCATGCTAAATCAAGAACTAAATCAACAAAATCTCGTATATACTCCACCTTCAAACCATTACTTGCTTACTTACTAAATTACGTCTGCTACTCCTAATGGAGCATAGGCCGCCGACCAACACTCTCCAGCCCACTCTGTCCTGGGCTTTCCCTTCCAGTCCTATCCTATTTTTGTTCATTTTTCTCATGTCTATCCCTATTTCCCGGAATAATGTGTTCTTTGGTCTTCCTCTTTTCCTTTGGCCTTCAGGACTCTGAGTGCGGACTTGTCTTGTAACGCAGTTAGATGCCTTCCTCATTGTGTGTCCTATCCACTTCCAGCGCTTCTTCCTGGTTTTTTCCTCCTCTGGGATCTGGTTCGTTCTTTCCCACAGTTGGTTGTTACTTATAGTGTCCGGCCAACGGATCTGAAGTATTTTGCGTAGACAACTGTTAATAAACACCTGTATCTTCTGGATGATGGCTTTTGTAGTTCTCCAGGTTTCCGCCCCATACAGTAGAACTGTCCTGACATTTGTATTGAAAATCCTGACCTTTGTGTTGGTTGACAGTTGTTTTGAGTTACAAATGTTCCTCAGTTGTAAATATGCTGTTCTTGCTGTTCCAATCCGTGCTTTCATATTTGCATACGATCCACCACCGTGTTCGTCCATGATGCTGCACAAATACGTAACGGTTTTTACATCTTCTAAATCTTCTCCGTCAATTGTGACTGGATTGGTGAATGCTGTGTTGTATCGGAGAATCTTGCTTTTCCCTTTGTTTATGTTGAGACCTACTGCTTCTGAGGCTGCTGCTACATTTAAACTAATAATTCTTTCCACTTATTATTATTTTGTTTTTTTTGCTTTTATAAAACTGTATTGACAATGTAATTATAAAAATACCTCTATCAATCTGTTATCTTAAAAACTTGTATGGTAAATTATCTTTATTCCTTATCAATATTCATACTCATAGGATTGTTTGATAATTAATTTATTCGTCTATTGTTGATTATGATTTAATAATATGCTTATTTCGTGTTTTATGTCAATGATATTTCAATGGTTGTGTGAGTCAACAAGTATTTTACAAGATATTAAGTTATACGATGATTTATAAATAACAGGAAACATAAAATGAAGTCATTAATTGGTGATGCCATTAGTACTACTACTAGTTGTAATAACAATAGCGGGAATAATGGTAAAATTGAATAGAAAAACACATAAAGTATCAAAGTGAGTTAGACTTGTTTATTATATCAGTAAGTGAACAATTAAGGGTGTTGGTGAAAGCTATAAATAAAACAGAAAATGTAGGATGAAAAACAAAACTAGTTAAAGTAAGGGCAGAGGGATGAAAACCAATGCTGAAAATGTAAGAGTCTAATAAGTGACTGAAAGTAATAGTGGATGATTTCCCGTTTATCTCTCCAACTAAATATAACTATGTTATATATGTAAATATACATTACCGTTGATCACCCCTTACATTGATTGTCTTCCCTCTCTCTTTCCTTTCTCACTTCGAAGTAAAGAAAGAAAGTCAGGAAAAAACCTACTTCCTTATGGAATTCTTTCACTCTCGTTGCCGTTTTATTTGTTTTTATTTCACGGTTAATTTATGAGTTCTAGGTCAAATAGTCAGATAGTCAGTTGGTATTGTCTTCCACAGACTGCTTCTTTTATAACTGTAAAATGATATTAAAGTGATTTTGATTTGGCTTTTAAAGTAAAATACTTACCATTCCTAGTGAACTAAAGACTAAATTAATAAGTTGATTTAAAAATACTAGCACTTCTTTTGCATATTGTTTATCCTGTCAGGTAATTTATATATGAAAGGAATGAGTAGATTAGTCACACTGCCCATAACAAAAATTAGCTAATACAGATTATGTATTTCTTTTCCATAGACTTAACCAAAGTTTACATCTTTTTCAGTGATTTCTTCTTTACTGAATTAACCCCCAAAACACATTGTTGTATGAAACGCGTAATAAGGTCAATAAGGCATGATATTGTCATAAAAGATTTTCGACTTTTATTATCCTTAATTTATTTATTTATTTATTCCATCGTTTTATTTGTATATAAACAAACTAGTCTCATGATTATAAACAGCTATTTGAGTCAGAGATTAATAATAACAATAACAGTAATAAAAAGGCACATCCGATCGATTTTATTGTACATTTGTAGGAAAATAAGTAGTCTGAATATATATTGAGATAGTTATTAGGAATTGTTCATTTGTTTTAGTTCAAATGATTTGTAGTGATTCATTGAATTTTAAGGTAAGTTTTTCAACTTTTATGATCATCACCCTACTTTTATTTATTTCGTATTTCACGTCTCCTTATTTTCTCCATTTCCTTCTTTAAACTCAATTCAATATTCTCAATTGCACAGACCCGATTTATTATTATTAATATTCTACTATTATTGCTCTAAATTTATTTTCTTTAAATATGGCAAGTATAATGTTGACATTATTGAAAATTGTGTATTATTGCATTTTTTGAAGAAACCCGAAATGGTTTCTTCACAACACTTATGTACCCATAAGATGTTTGTGAATAATAATAATAATAATAATATCCATGATTCATTTTGATATTCCTGTGCTTCCTTAAGTCTTAGATCATCATGCAACCTACTTTTGATTCATGAAATCTTCAAGCACTTCATGATGTAATTTCTTTTTATCCCTCTACTGACTATTTAGTAGATTGTTATAAATAGTTTTGTTACACCTTTAGTAAATGATATCATCGAATAGAAACATTTCTGGGCTGAATCATATGTGTTTAGTTCTTATTATTATTTTCAGTCAGAGTCAGTGAAAATCGAAGAGTAATAGACAAATTATGGTTTGCTTCAAATTTTCATTACTTGGAAGTGAGCAAAACTCAGGCGAGTCTCAAAACTGCAATAAATTATTTCGTGATTTGTTAATGATCTCTAATAAAATTTCCTAGGCGCCGTCAAAAAGACTAGTCATGAATCCTGGTTTCCGCCTTATTATGGTCAAAATCATTCGTATTTATTCTTTATAAATCAATCTACTGAAGAAAGACACGTCGAGTGTATAAGCAAGGATATTTAGGAAACTATATACAGCTATTTAACTGTTCCTCCCAATCTCCCACATTGTCCGAACATCCCATTTACCTATGTAAATTTCTGCTGTGGTTGCCCCAGAGATGATGCAACACAGTGGCTTCAGACGTTATCAGACATGGCTCAGAATAGAAGGCAGTAGCGATGCTGCTGTAACTCTCTGTTACTTTCCCCATAAATGTGAACGTAACTTTCTAGTTGAAAGAATTCTTTCTGGTTGTATTTCTTCTAATTGAACTGATTCTTCCGTTGTTATTATTATTATTTCACTCTCACTTACCGATTCCTATTAACTTGTGGTCTTATTGGTATATCCACCCTCCTGTCTCTTCACAACCTCACTGTCATTGTGTGGCCCACTTGTGTTTAGCGAATAAGATTTCCCCGGCAGTGGCTGTATACGCGTGGCCATGTGAGAGTATTTCGAGAGGAAGAGCGGACTTTCCACACCCTTGACCGTACCAGGACACTTGAGGGTATTACTGAACGTAAAACAGTGGCAGCAGGAAAACTCCTAAGAGTTCTACTTAGTCCTGAAAAATTCAAGAATATATTTCAGGAACAACTGCTAGTCAACCGTCAAAATGATATCCACCACGAGATAGCTTGATACGATAAACGAAATGCTGTGGAAACGGCAGTGATAACTACCAGAAACTTAAACAAAAATGTTAGGGACAACCAGCCGATTTCAGCGACGTCTACAGAACCGATAGATGCTAAGGATCTCTTCCTATCTGGCTTCGAACACAATGAGGGGCTG